TAAAATTTTTCGATGTTAACTCGATTAAAAAATCGAGTGCGTGAATCAAACCTAAGAAAACAAGATTGTTATGTTTGTTTACATCTTCTTCTCGATAAACATAAAAATTTTCGTTGCATTGTACTTGCCGTGCAAAAATCAAAACCATTCTATTTATTGGAGAAAACACAATTCAAACGGTTTTCTAACAAAACTTTGAACTTCTGCAGTACCGCCTTTTCGCCAAGGTCTATGATAAGGTAAAAAGAACGAATCTGCTGTGACATGTACAATATACTGAAGAAGGGAAATATGTTAGTTTTCTCTCTTTATTACTATCAAGTATGTTTAACACAAACGACAATCCTAATATACAAGACGAAATACGTTCGTATGTTTTTTTCAACCAGCTATTGTATGTAGTTGAACAACTATATTTCCGATGGATTTTTTTCTGTTCACAAAACGTTGTTAAACTTCCTTGAACTTCGCTAGTTTCTCTTCCTTTTTCGAAAATCATATTTCCCTATGGCTGAAAATTTCAAAAGTCCAAAAAAAGTCGCTGTTTTCTCGTTGCTAGTGTATCAGATATAAGAATAAGAGCTAACTGCTAATGTGTAAAGTGAGTATCGAAAAAAAAACTGTTTCTATATTTTCTGCTTATTTTTATATACGAAAGGAATGCAAGCAAATCATCCAATGTCCAATCAAAACGAGTTAAACAGTTTATTCTTGTTCTTGGTCTGGCAATTGTTTTAGTGGCCATTGCTGTTATTCTTATTATGGTACTTCCAAAAGTCTTGGCTTCAAGGCGAAAAATTTCGAAAGGTAAGACAACGCCATTAGGTAAATGAAACCCAAGGCTGTCGTCGATTTTTTTCAGGATTTGATATAAATATAGATATATGTACGTATGAGCTCGACAAACTGCTGCAAGTGTTTAGAAAAGGCTTCATGTGCTGCTGCTATTTGCAGCACTGTCAGAGTTTTCTAAAAAGAGGTTTTTTTGATCAGCTTCAGCAGTTTTTTGGATTTTTTTTTCAATCGACTGTTCAAACATATCGGCACAGTTCACGTAACCAGAGTTTTCTGATAAATCTCAGCACTTTTGGGGGTTTTTTGACTACAAACGTCATAAAAACCCATAACACTCCCAAAAAACCTTTGAAAATAAAGTATTCAATAAAAGATTCGAATCGCGTAGACGGACTTCCAATAGTTTTTTGGTTTTTTTTTTGATATAGAAACGGAATTTTTGTGTGCTTTTTCGGGATTTATGGTATCGAAAACCAGGATATGCCTAAAAAATCCAAAAAGGCACTCAAAAAACTCTATAAAACTATCAAAAAATACCCAAAAACCTCAGGAGTCCTATTTTGAAAAATTGTTGACCAATCAATCGACCTCGATCAAAAAACCTCATAAAACACTCAAACAAGAAATGGAAAAACTCTCATAAAACCCCACCAAAAAATAAGAATTGAAAGAAAAATTGAAGAAAAATTCCAACCCCTCAGGGGGTTTCCCAGTAGTTTTTTGGGAGTTTTTGGATGTTGAGGAGTTTTGGGGTGCTTTGGGGGTTTTATGGTATCGAAAATCAGGTAATACTTAAAAAATCGAAAAGGCACTCAAGAAACTCCATAAAACTACCAAAAAGCTCAGGAGTCCTATTTTGAAAAATCGTTGTTCAATGAATCGACCGCGATAAAAGAAATCTTATACTCGTTTTTTTTAAATGTCTGATGAGAGAATCGGACTCCATCAAACACTCGATAAACGAACAGTAATACTTGTTGCAAAAGCGCCCAGGATAGGAAGTGTAAAGAATGAAAAAATGTGTTACTTAGCGATTCTTCCTGTTATTTTCTTTCATTTCGAGAGTTCGTCTTTTTTCTGTAGCTTTCATGTGAGAAATGCGTTTTTTTCAATTAACGGGTTACGATTTTTCCAATGACCTTGAAAAATTGGAACGGAAAACATCGATTACTTTTCAGCTTAATAAATAGTGTGACATAATCGGAAGCTAAATGCGAAAAAGAAAACATAGCCAGAAATAATGGTGAACAGAAAAGTATGGAACTGTAAGAATCCGTATAATGAAAAGGCTTCAAATAGAGAACTGAGAAGAACATCAGATGTGGAGTAACCAATGTTTTTTTTGATGAACAAGTTGATAAAAAGCGATTGGTGTAACCGATTACACTGTTGAGAGGTGGAATATTGTATATCCGAAGACGCGCGGAGATTCTCGGTCGCAAGACTAACAAAGTGTGAGGCCGCGCGATGCGCAGCTTCACACAGTGTTAGCCTGTTTCCGTAAATCCGATGCGGAAACACGTTAGCAGACACCGCTCACTGTGGGTGCCACGAAATACTGAAACGCGGCCACGAATAGAGGCATGAGTATAGAAGGTTTTGGATTTCAGTGGTTTATTTTTTAATTCGATTATTTTCACAGGTTCGTCAACGCCTTTTCAAAGGCTTTTTGGGTAGTTTTATGGATTTTTAGGGACTTTTCGATTTTTTAGGTATTATCTGATTTTTGATACCATAAAATCCCAAAAAGTACACAAAAAATTCCTTTTCTATATCAAAAAACCCAAAAAACTACTGGAAGCCTACGGGGCTGCAATTTTCTTCGATTTTTCTTTCAATTTTTATTTTTTGATGGTGTTTTTTGAGGGTTTTTCCTAGAGATGTGCAAAGTCATGATTTTTTGGTGCCGGTTCCGGTGCTGCAAATTTTACGATTTTTGGTCTCAGTCCCGTAAGTTTTGCGACTTGTGGTCCCGGTCCGGTTTTTCAGTTATTGTCTTATAAATTCTGCGATTTTTTTATCCAGATCCCAGTTTTCGGTCTCATAAAAATATGTACACCTCATGTATGATTTTCATCATACATGTGGTGAAGTTATACTCTTGAAACACAATTTCTCTATTTATGACGATCAGTATGACTGTAGCTGCAGAACTTATTTTTTTGTTTTTTAGGTAAGTTCCGTTCGACTTGACTTTTCTCTTGCACACAATCGCGCATGCGAAAGTAACTAGCGGTATTTATAGCGTTTCTCACAACCTATAAGATCCGTTCGCTTTTTTCAGGCGTCCGCGCGTATCGATGAGGAAATACAATAACAAAATGCTTGTCTAAAACTGTAAATAGTACAATTCTAACGATCAAATGATGAATAACAAAGCAATGCATAGAAATCATGATCTGTTTTAGCTACTTTCCAAATAGTGAAATATTGGTTTTTGACTCAAACTAAGTGCTTCTATTTCTTCTGCAGTTGAAATGTAAGAATAGTAAATGAACATAAATATCTTACTAATAATTCAATTTCGTTCAAATAATTGGGCAAACGCTTTTAGTCAATGGTGAAAAATACGAAAACCGGGACCAACATTTTTGGGTTTGGTCTCGGTCCCGCACATCTCTAGTCTCATTTACTTTTATAGTTTCAATTAAAAAAGGCTTTTCACAAAATCAAACCCATTTTCAAGATTTACGATGATATTTTTAGGGGTTTTAAAAGCCCAGAAATAATGTTGGCCTTGGTATTTCAAGATTTCCAGCTGAAAATAAGACATATTTTAATGTAAACATATCAGTTAGTATTCCAATTTTTCGAGAAATCGATTATTTAAGGAGGATGAAGTCTCCTCTTGTGTCCGATGCATTGCTCCTTCAATGGGTCTTCTACTATTGAAGAAATTCTATTGCGAAGAGGGGTTTACATGACAGACTATGAAAAAAGTGAAAATCTGAAGAAAAAAAAGCACAATCTACACGACAATTTTGGTCAACAGCTCGATCAGACGATAGAATGTGGAGGTACCTGAGTGGTAAGAATAGTCATATCCACATTGATACTCTTCACTTCAAGAATACCAAGGCTAGTCGTGTCCTGATATCACCGCTACGAGCAATAGTCAAAAGTTGGAACGATGATTTGGTACTTGTTCACTTTAGCCACAGCTTCACCCTCATCCGGATGCAATGTGTGTGTGGCAACTGGTATGAAACTGTGGCTAAAGTGAACAAGTGTCATATCGTCTTTCATTACACTATTTGAAATTTTCTTGCAGCGAAATTTCTTACCGAGCATTCTTTGAACGGTCAAAACGCGTTATCTGATTAAAAAAGCCACATTGGAAAGAAAATTGTTCAAGAATACTTTCAAAATTTAACATATGTTTTTGTCCGAATAATATACACTCATAACAATTTTGAAGGAAATAAATATTTGCTTTCATTGAAGCAAAACCAAGTGGAACATAAGCTTCATTTACTCAGTTATAGAATAAAGTTCCATTATTCTGCTCTAAATTCAGACAGGTAGAGCGAAATGCTAAATTCTCTCCCGGATCGTCTTTAAGTTCTTTCTTGGAATATTTGGAAAACAGTAAATATAGCAAGACTTTTATTACACTCCACTAATTTCAAATGCTAAATTAACAGTTTTTCTTTTCGAACCATCGAGAAAACTATCTTGTAAAGTTCTATCAAAAAAAAAGAAAAATCCTTCAAAATTTTCAAAATGAAAACTCCAAAAATCCACATAATCTAATAAAATTCTTCTCTCCTTTCGTTATAGCAGCATGGACACCATTGCGTTCAACTGATAAAAACCTTCATCCAACGAATACTCGATGGATACAGAATGGTCTCATTGTGGCTGGAGGAAATGGACAAGGCAGTGGTATCAATCAGCTTTATTGTCCATATGGTTTGTATGTTGACGATGATGATGATCAAACTGTGTATGTCGCTGATAACCTGAATCACCGTATTGTGAAATGGAAAAAGGGTGCGACGAATGGCCAAGTGGTTGTCGGTGGAAATGGAAAAGGAAGTGGGGCTCATCAGTTGTCTAACCCACTAGATGTGATTGTCAACAAAGAGAGAGATAGTCTCATCATCAGCGAGTTCGAGAATAGCAGAGTGGTTCGATGGCCTCTTCTAAATGGAACAAGTGGAAAAACGATCATCTCGAACATCGGCAATTGTTTAGGTTTCACAATGGACGAGAATGGATCTCTTTATGTCACTGATTATTCGAAACATGAAGTGCGACGATATCGAAGAGGAGAATCCGAAGGAACAGTGGTTGCAGGTGGCAATGGACAAGGAAATCGTCTCGATCAACTCACAAATCCTTTATACGTTTTCGTTGATCGAGATCATTCAGTGTACGTGTCTGAAAATGTAAATAATCGTGTGACGAAATGGATGGCAGGTGCAAAAGAAGGCATTGTCGTGGCTGGTGGTCAAGGACCAGGAAATGGTCTTACACAATTGAATCATCCTAGAGGAGTCGTTGTCGATCAACTGGGCACTGTCTATGTGGCTGATTGTAATAACGATCGAATCATGCGCTGGCCGAAAGGAGCCACACAGGGAAGTGTCATTGTTGGTGGAAACGGTCGAGGAGGAGAATCGAACCAACTTAGTTGTCCCATCGGTTTGTCATTTGATCGATACGGCAATTTGTATGTTGTCGAGCATAATAATCATCGAGTACAAGAATTCAAGTTCAATTCATGCGCATGCACGATTTACTGCCGTGGATTTACTACCGTAAACAATCAACTTTTAAAAAGCGCGATCTTCTTTTTCTTCATACAAATGACTTTTTAAAATTTAACTAAGATGGCTGACCGCACGTCTCTTTCACTATTAATTGAAACATTTTAATTTATCCAACATTTTTTGCTTCATAATACATAAATCTTAAATACTTTTTGTAGGTCTTAGAACGTATAAACAAGCGTATTTATAATATTTTTTTCCATATTATACTAAACGAATTTTATTTATTTATTATATTAGCGTTCTGAAATAATTTTTAATGAATTTGATGTTTTCTATAAAATAAAATTCTTATATAGATATGAGAGTGAGTTTGATAAATAAAAGGCACAAATCCAAAAGGGCACACAGCTACTACGACGCGTTTCGGTTTTGTTGAAGGACCTCATCAGGCAGATTTACCTCGCACTTCCAAATTTGTGTCT